GTGGTTCTCAAAATTTTTGCAAAAAAATTATTTTTTTTGGAAATTTTCAAAGTAAAATAACTTCGTTATTTTGGACTTATGTGCAAAAAAGATAGAGAGAAAATATGTTTCTTTTATCGAGATCTACCACCCCTTAAAATATTTGCACTTATTTCTGGGACACCCTGTATATATATAAAATAAAATATTGTGCCTTGAATTTGAGGGATTTCATCTGAAAAATTATTAATTTGGAAGAAAACCGGCAACAAGCGGCAGAAAATAATAATATTTCCATGCAGTCTTCTGGTCGCAACGACCAACGGACGGCCAGGACGTTAGTGTGCGCTATATCATTTGATTTAATTGTTTTAGAGGTAGCTGCGGCCTGGCCGGTGCGACCTGGTCGTCAGTGTGTTCGAGCCCTTAGGGTCCGAATTCTGAACACCTGCACCGATTGATGTAAAATGTTAACAGTGAATAGAGATAGTGTAAGAAACAAAAGTTACATAGTAGCGATGTATGCTTTCACCCTGGGGGTGAATCACCCTTCTCGAGGATAAAAAATAAATCACCCATTCTAATTGCAAAAATCAATAAAGGGATGAAAGGGCAAAAAATGTTCTATAACATTTTTTCTAAAAATTAATATTTTCCTAGTTATTTAGGATTGAAAACGTTGATTTTTCGTGTAAAAACTGCATATTTTATTTTTCTGCCATTCTTTATAAATAACTCGAAAACCTTGCGATTTATCGCAAAACTCATATAAAGCAAAAATGAAGCTTTTGGAATAACTAAACGATTCGACCATTTTATTTTTATGATAACTCCGCGAGTTTTTATGCTAGAAACTTTTTTAACAAAGTATTTAAATTAAAAGGTTTTTTCAAGCACTTTAAAAACGGTCATATTCATTTTCTTCGAAAAATGTGTTCTTTGGCCATTATTTTACGGTAAAAGGTTGCAATTTAGTTTCCAAAAAAATAAAAAATCACCTTTACAGAGTGATAACTCGGCATTATTACACCTACGGTAATCAACAATGAATCGATTCGTTAATCCAAAAGCTTAATTTTTGCTTTATATAAGTTTTACGATAAAACGCAAGGTTTTCGAGTTATTTATAAAAAATAGCAAAAAATATGCAGTTTATAGATGAAAAATCAACATTTTCAATCTTAAATAACTCGGAAAATATTAATTTTCTGAAAAATGTTAAGAATATTTTTTGCTTAAAATTCATCCCTTTATTGATTTTTGCAATTAAAATAGATGATTTATTTTTCACCCCCGAAAAGGGGTTGCACTCACCCCAAGGGTGGATGCACACATCGCTACTATGTAATTTTTGTTTCTTACATAATATGTATACCCAAAGACATTATAAATATAGACCGAACATCTCATTCATAAATACTCGTTGGTAGTGTATCAAACATTCCAATGTGTCAAACAAGGACAGAAGAGACAGAGAAGTCTAAAATTTCCGACCCCGGCAACTAGGCGCATTTGGATTGTTCTAATGGCCAGTGGCGTATCGTTTTTTGGAACGAATTTAATTAGTAAAGTAAAAGTAAAGTAATTAGTAAAATGTTTACTCCATATTAATATACTACATTAACACTTTTTCGTCAGACACTTTTAACACTTTTGTTATAAGGTCTAATATAATAATATAATTAATATCCCACATATACTTATGTTGAAACGTTAGTAGGTAGTTTTCGAAAATCGCTCCAACGTCGATTTTCAATTTAAACTTTCAGTTATTTCTATATAAATTTTCAGTTACTTTTGAATATTTACAGGGTGACTCAGGCTACCGAAACAGTTCTATATTAGGTTTGTGGTTGGTGACTTTTCTTTCAATTTTTTTTCAGAATATGGAGGCAACGGTAAAGCACATTTTAGACATTTTTGTAAACATAGGTGGCCGGAACATATTTTCAAACTAAAGTTGTAGATTTGCCATTAAATTTCCATTCCAGAAATACCTAGGGTTGCCACCTGTCCTTTTTTGGACTAACTTGTCCTTTTGACTTTTTTGACTTTAAAATTCATTTTTATTTACGTATTTTCACTGAGAAAATTACCTACAGCAAACAGAAATATTATTTTCGTCCAGATTTAATTAGAGATGTTATAAAACTTAAAAATAAATTTTTCTTGTTTAGAATAGGCAACATTATTTAGAACTTCCCGTTTAATCTCAAATGATAATTTAGGTTTTAGTTTTACCTTTTTTGATCTTAAAAAGAACTTTTTAAAATTAGTAATTAGTAACGATTTAGTTAGTTCGCAATCGATAGCTTCCTGTAAAGTACTATGTAATAGTTGTTTAATCTTGTATTATTAATAACTTCCTATACCTAAAATCAATATTTAATGAGAAAATTGTGTTTTTTTTGAAAATATAAGACAAGATTTGACTTTCGGTCTTCTTCTTGTATTATGATGGCTCTGATACGAGGCAATTACCTTTTAGTCTCTCAATAGAAGGCATTTATCATTAAAAGTATCAAATCTGTGTGCTACAGTATGGGATTTCTGTCGCATAATAATATTACGTTTATTTACAAATCCATTACTTTTAAAGGTAGCTTCATCAGACAATCAAATTTTAGTTAAATGTCCCAATCTTCATGAACTGTATTAAGCATATCTATTGCAGTTTGAATCACCCCGAGAATCACCCTGTATGTTGACAAAAATATTTTGAAAATGTGCGTTACAATGGCCCCCATCTTATATAAAAAATTGAAATAAAAATTACAAACCAAAAACGTAATAGGTAAAAAGCTTTTTTGGAGGCCTGGGTCACTCTGTATATAGGTATGTATAAAACTAGTAGCCTAAGAATTATTTACAGTTCGTCGCCTTCTAAAAAAGGTAACACACCGTACAAATAACTCTAGGAAGAGGTATTTGTACGGTGGTAAAAAATTGTTTAAACGAGGCCGAAGGGGCAGATATAATAATGTAATAAAATGTAAAAAAGGGCGGGTAAACACCTTTGTTTATTTGTTGAGCAAAATTCCTTTAGAATATCGTATATAATGACCAAAATATGACGCAATTTTAAGAAAAAAAATGTCATTTTCTGGCATATAATAAAGTTTCAAATGCAACGTTTATATTCAAATTTGTTATGATCTACAACAGTTAAGTAGTAATTGAGACGAATTATAATTCAATTACCGGCTACTACGTTCTTGTTTTAATACATAAATTATTTTAATTGTGAGAGGCTCCCTTGTGGGACGCCTATGTATGGCGATTACGGCGTGGCGGAAACAATACCTACCTGTGAAAAGACAAATTCGGGTAATTTGAGCTTATTTTTACACACATTTGACATTGTCGTACCATATTGAAAATTCGCAGATTCAAAAGTACGTTAAAAAAGCAAAAACTACTGAAAAACACTGAAAAGTTCACTTCGGACTTGATTCCGACTTCAAACACACCGTAAGCTAAACGTAGTACGCTATAACGGACTATGGGCCGTCGCGAGGGGGGGTGGGACGGACGGCTCATTTCATTCTGGAAGACTAGCAGCGATGTTGCCAATAGTTCTAGACGTTTCAGCACATTAAACAGTAAACATGTCCTTTAATAGTAACGCCAATATCCTCTGATTAATAACATATTATTACGCATGCTTCTTTAAAAGTAAACTATTAATTTAATTAAGAAATTGAGATTTATTGATATCCGCACTGCAAATCAAACTAAGTAGATAGGCGCAAATTTGAGATGTGGCAATGTCGCCTTCTCTATCTCAGTTGGTTTTTACAGTACGTAGTCAACCTCCGATTGTTTGATCGGGTTAAAATGCAAAATGTGATATCTGTTCTTCCTAAATCTATGTGTATACCTATTCACTATTAAAATTTCACGTCAATCGGTGCTGGTGTCAAGAATTCGGAGGTAGTAATACCCTATTTTTATCTTCGCTTACTGGCCTAAGAATCGCGTCTAACAATGACAAGTAACAAGTATGTAGGTATCATACGATCGAAAAAAAAGCGTCAACAACGGCTGAGGAATGAGAATTGATGATAATTATACCGTAATCTTCTTTATTTTTTAATGACCCTTACTGCCAGTAGGCCTTTAGAATATTGTATTTTTTTATATTGAGTAAAAATGATTTTTAAAATTTAAAAACCATATGGTGTAGTTTAAAATTCGAGGGAAAATATTTTTTTGGAAAGATTTGTCTCTCTGGAAACGTACTATTCTTTCTTACTCTTTTTGTAATCCGTCTTTGACGCCGCCGCCGGTTTCTTTCTATCATTCGATCGGAAACAAATTCGATATAATAGCTATAATACCGGGTGCGTCTCAAAAGTGGTAACCTCCCAAATACAATGATGTATCACACTTACCCATCAATGATGTATCCCACGTTATATGCACATACATAAAATAAAAAGGGATTCGTATAAGCATCTATCTCCAAATCATTTACTCTTTATTATCCGTTTTTTGGGCAAGTGTGATTCCATCATGTCTCAATTTTTTCAAATGGAACGACAGTGGGTCATTATATTTAGAAAAAGCATTTTTTACGAATAATTTGGTACCACACACTTGGAAGTTTGAGTGAATTTGTAATTTGTCGTTATGAATCGCATGTTGCAATTTCAAACAAACCAAATTCAAAAATGTCAAAAGTTGACATATGATATGTCATTCTATTCAGAGTGTCATTTTCTATCGAATAAACTAACAAAATACCGAGGGTGCCTTTTAAAAATCAAAAATTGTAGCGATTTTCGGTGAAACAGGAAGTAACAGAAAACCATTGAAGACGTCACTCAATCCTAAATTTATGTTATCTACCAAATCTCGTTTTTTTTATCTAAAAAAATAAAAAAGTTATAGGGGTGAGCCACTTTTGAGACGCACTCGGTATACATGACGTGGCCTTAATACATAATAAAAAATAACACAATATTAGATAAATTCTACAAGCATTTAAATCTTTTTTTTTATTAAAATAAAAGTTTAGATTCAAGTAACAATCTATCTCTATTTCTATTTCTTATTTTTAACATACTAACTTAAAATATAAAAAAAAAAACAAATTTCACCTTAATAGAACTGAAAATCTGTATTTTTTGTATTCGTACGAATCCACCTGTCAAATTCCTCTATCAATTCCGGGGACATAACAGTTTTATATCCACCTACCGATCCAGAACGCATAAACATGCCTTCCTGTTCTATGAGTTTGTATTTCTTATTTAATTCCGTGACCAATTCGTAATTTACCGCCGGGTTTTTCTTCATACTATCGAAACTTAAGTGGTCGGTAAGAATGTCCACTTGGTTCTCGTTCAAATCCTTCTCTAGAAATTTAGCGGTTGCTCGAATAGCCGAAGGAAGATCTTTCTTCATGTCTTCGTATCGAAGGAAGAGGACATTGTCCTCATGGCGTCTGTTCCAGAACTGGAGTAAGTGTTTCCAGTAAGGTGCAAAACATACTGAAATTTATTTGTAATTATCAGATACTTTTTAATAATGATATAGTGTTAAAAAATATTTTATTTTTTATTTTGATGTATGGACGGAATAGACCCATGATAGATATACATTTTATTTAGCATCGGAAGACGTTTGTTTTGTATGTGCAGGGTGGCGCTTCTCATACGCCACAGAGGTTCCAAGGAGAACGACAGTTTGTATTGAAATTAAATTTTATGAGCATATGTAGGTTAATTCAGAGCACTTTTTAAAAATATAGAGAGTTCTACAGGTGTCCCCAAAAAAAGTTACGTATCAAAGTTGTGTTTTTTATAATAGACACTATATATTAATTGGTTTTCGGATTCTGAGAGAAAAATAAAGGTGAGTTTTATAAGAGAAGTATATGACTAAAATGTAAGGTTTTTGACATATTTAACATTTTCTAGAAATAAAGAACTATTTAAATTACAATAAAACCTACCTAAATTGGAATTTACCCGGTATATCCTAATATGTAGTTAAATTAACTATTGTACTTTAAATTAAATTAAAACTTGATCCAAAAAGTTATACAGGGTGGGAGAAAATTAATATTAAACATTGATCACCTTTAAAAGCATGTTACTCTCTTATTTTAAATGGAACACCCAGTATATTGTTCCGACATTCAATGGAGAATTCGTCTCTTCAAAATACTATTAAAATTGCTTACCCATTAAACAAAGATTTTCCTAGATATTTTCATTTACATGATTTGATCTGAGTAGATATTTATTATTTGATATAATCTTGGTGGCTGGTGATATGTTTGACGTTACTTCAACATAGCTGTCTAATTAGTCCAACTTTAATAACTAGTTATCATTTTGTGTCAGTTAAAACAAAAAAAAATCTCAGAAATTTGCCAAAAATGCAAACTTATCCTACATCAGAAAGAACTGATATGATTCTATTAGTTGGTGAATGCTCTGGTTGGTGAATTATCTAGTCTGGTATTTTTTTATGGGGATATGTTAAAGACAGTGTTTACAAAACTAGACTAGAAGGTGGAACTCCACATATGCCTTTTAAAATGAGAATTACATAATATTCAAATAATTATAAGTTTATATAGTTTTAATTCTGTAATAATTAAAATATGTTTTAAACGTGTATCTTTTTATCACCGTTGAGTATTACAATAATATGTAAAGATCTACTGACGCAAAATCATAAAAATTAAAATATCTTGGAAAATCTTTGTCTGAAGAGTAGGCACCTTAATAATATTTTGAAGATATATAAATTCCCCATTGAACACCGGAAAAATATACTGCGTATTCCATTTAAAATAAAGGAGTACCTTGCTTTTAAATGTTACTAATGTTCCATATTAATTTTGTCTCACCCTGTTCGGGTCAAATTTCAATTTGGTTTAACATACAATGGTTACTGTAATTAAATATTGCATCTCCCATTGAACACCGGAAAATATTCTGGGTGTTGCATTTGAAATAAAGGAGTAACTTGCTTTTAAAAGTGCCTAATGTTCCATATTAATTTTGTCTCACCCTGTATAAATTTTTAGGTCAAATTTCAATTTGGATTATACAATGGTTACTGTAATTAAATATCAGGCTATATAAGAGCAACTAAAATTTAGGTAGCTATTATCGAAATTTAAAGTTTACTCTTCATTTTCACAAAATGTGGAATATGTCACAATCCTTAGATTTTAGGTTTATGCTTCTTTAATAAAACTCACCTTTATTTTTTTCCTAGAATCCGAACATCAATTAATTTATAGTGTATTCCATTAGAAAAAATACAACTTTGATGTGTAACTTTTTTTGGGGACACCCTGTATAATTCTATATGTTTTTATAAAATGCTTTCAGTTAACCTACATATGCTGCCAAAATTTCATTTCGATATAAACTACCGTTTTCCTTGGAGCTTCCGCGGCATATGACAGGCGCCACCCTGTATAATTAATTTTTGTAAAAATAAACTAGGTACGTCTAACAAATCTGTACCTCATTATGGTACCCATTAGTACATCCCATGAGATACATACAAAATTTATATTAAAAAATTACATTTAGTAGTTATACTTTACAGGGTGTCCCATTTTAGATGAAATCATACTGTATCTTATTTATTCGTGAAGATAGAACGGTGCGATTTGCATAATCCTGTCCCACTTTTTTGTCAAACGAAAGATGCCGTAAACAAAATTTTCATAGTCCTCTTCGTTTCGAGCTACAGGGTCTTTTTGAAAATACTGGAATTTGGGACAATCCCTGTATCTCTGTTATGGTTAAAGGTATCGAGAAGGTAAAAACTGTTTATTGTAGAACTCTTTAAGTAGAATATAGTGGCCTAGTCTGTTATTCTATAAATATAATATTTTTAAAGATATGAACTAAAGTTGTGTTTTCTTAAAAGGAACACCCTATATATTTATAAATTATATGATTTAGCTTGCCATAAGCTTCTCAAAAATATATATCACTCTATATTTATTTTCACTACTTACTACAATATTTACAGTTTTTCTATTAAACGATAAGATTTATTAGTAGGTCATTATTGATAATAAAAGAAACTAAAGAACTATTAAAAGTATACTGGCTATCTGTCTCTTGTTTTATTTTGGGAGCCACTAATAAATTATTTATACATTAGGGAAACTTAACTCTCTACCGCTTTTATAAATCTTGGAAGCGATCTTACCGGAACTATTAGATATTCCTTCAGCTAATTTACGTGAAATATACCATCAGTAAGATTTGGCTCTCCCTCATAACTTTGAAAATATTAGAATTTTGTTAAATTATTATTTCTTATTTATGATGGCCTCCCTGATTCCCAGATTTGTTCGTTCTAGATTACTGATTTTGGGGATTTTTGAAATATGAAATATAACGTGGCAACTACAACAATGTCAAACACCTGAAAAATGCTTTAATAATGCAAGTGTATTCAGAGATAGTGCAATGTGTATTCAATATATTCAGAGATTCAGCAATGGTAACCTGGTAACACTTCAAATGTAAAATATATCAATCCCAAATAAAATTTTAATATGTGTATGACTATTTTATTAAATACCATTTTGTTATTTATCACGGCCTACTAATAAAAGGAAGTATACGGCCCAACTAAGAACGTAAGCTGCCCAATCACGGCACAAAACGGTGAACTTCTGAAAGAGAAAGAGCAAATCAGAAATCGCTTTAAAGAGCATTACAGCCATATCCTTAACCAAGACAATATCCCCAATATGCAAGCACTAAACACAATACCTCAGTATAACAGCATTGATGTATTAGATATCCCAATAACGGAACAGGAAATAAAGGCCTCCATAAAACAACTTAAAAACAACAAATCGGCTGGCTGTGACGCTATTCCAGCGGAAATCTATAAGTGTGCAAGTAAAGAACTTATTGGTCATCTTAAGGCTCTCTTCGATGTCATATTGGAAAGCGGAGAGGTACCTCTGGACTTTCGCAACGCGAATATAGTAAATATATTCAAGAACAAAGGAAGTGCATCAGATTGCGGAAACTACCGAGGAATTTCACTACTGGTTATCGGAGGTAAAGTTCTCGCAAAAATTATGTCAAACCGCCTTCACCCACATATAGAAAAAATCCTCCCAGAATCGCAAACGGGCTTTCGCACAAACCGCGGTACCGTTGATTCTATATTCTCCGTCCGCCAACTACAGGAAAAAGTAAAGGAACAGCAGAGTAAACTTTATGTTGCATTCATCGACCTAACGAAAGCTTTCTACTCTGTAAACAGAGATGCACTTTGGACAATTATGCAAAAGTTCAGAGTGCCCAACAAATTTCTTAGTGTGTGTAAAAGCCTCCATAACAACAAGTCGAGAGTGTCACATCATGGATCACTGAGCGATCCCTTCCTGACAAATACAGGAGTTAGGCAGGGATGTGTCCTAGCTCCTCTCCTATTCAACATATTCATGGCAGCGCTCTCTATTATAGTGGACAGCAAACTACAGGAAAAAGGAATGGGTGTTACATACAGGTATGACGGCGATCTGTTCAACATAAAAAGACTCAGGGCAAAAACACGTATAAAATTCATCACAGAACTCCAACATGCTGATGACAGCGCTCTAGTTGCAAATATGTTACAGCAATTACAGGAAATGCTGAACACATATACCTGGGCATACGAGACTTTGAGCCTTAAAAAAGCCAACAACGATAAAACAAAAATCATGTGCACTTCCAGTGGCGGATACAGAGGGGGTCCATGGGGCCCGAACCCCCCCTGAAATCTATAAATTGGGTTAAATATTAGGCTTTGGGGTTAAAAAAGCATATTCTACATTATTCTTTATTTGGGCCCCCACCTAAAATAAATTCCTATATCCGCCCCTGTGCACTCCCCCGGAAAATCATAACAGCGCTATAAAAATCGGAGAAGAACTATTGGGATATGTATCGGAATTTAATTACCTCGGCAGTTTGATTTCGGAAAAGGCAAATATCGACTCTGAAATTCAGCACAGAATCAGCAGCGCCTCAAGAACATTCTGGAAATTAAAAGACAGGGTTTTCTACAATCATGACTTGAGCACAGAAACGAAACTTGCAGTGTATCGAGCAGTAATAATCCCCACCATGTTATATATAAGCGAAACCTGGGTGCCGCACCGCCGGCACACGAGCGCATTCAGGTGCATGACACTTCTTATGGGAGAACTGGCAATGGTTGAAAACTTGACTACAAGCGATTTTCTAGGAATCTTCCTTACCGATAAATTATTGACAAGAGTGACAGATAAAACCCTGACATTCTTTCAGTATAACAGTTCATCTCTTTTTCGTTCTAAAGTGTGCGTTGAAAGTAGACAAAATCAATTTTTGGTGACCCATAATTTGTTATCCGAACACCACTTTTCTCCTTGTCGGGTTGTTGACCGGCACACGAGCGCATTCAGGTGCATGACACTTCTTATGGGAGAACTGGCAATGGTTGAAAACTTGACTACAAGCGATTTTCTAGGAATCTTCCTTACCGATAAATTATTGACAAGAGTGACAGATAAAACCCTGACATTCTTTCAGTATAACAGTTCATCTCTTTTTCTTTCTAAAGTGTGCGTTGAAAGTAGACAAAATCAATTTTTGGTGACCCATAATTTGTTATCCGAACACCACTTTTCTCCTTGTCGGGTCGTTGACGTTGATTTGTCGCCATTTTATTTCTTTTGTTTACACGCTGCAGTTTGCTTTGTAAATTTAATACATAAATTATTTAGGCAAATATAAGTTTTTGATAAAACTCCTTGGACTAACGTGTAGGTAAGTGTTGATAAATAAGTTTTTTTTCATCTTAACATGCTCATTGTCATTCTCCTGATTTAGGTGACAGAAAAGGATCATCAAATCAAATTGAATTTTATATTTTTTCATCCCAGGACCGATAATAAAATATTATTTTATGGATACCTTCCTAAATATCAACGAGATGAGCCATCGGAAGAAAGGGACCATAGTACAAAACAGAAAGGTGATCTTTTTTCTTTCCACTTAGGATATTGAAATTATTATATACTGTAGTCGTGTTCGGCATTATGCTCTGAGAAATATAGATAAACAAAGAACAACAGATATAAAGCATCCCAGAGGAAAATAGAGGCAATACCTGTACTCTCCCTTTGATATTTGTGAAAGTTACGGCAAAGTATTGTTGTAAATGTCATCTTTTTAATCGACCTGTAAACTTCGAGCAAAAAGATGACACTTTCAACAATACCCTGACAGATATCAGAGACGATACAGGTTTTTCCTCTCTTTTCCCCTGGAATACTTTTAATTTATTATTCTTTGTTTATCTAGATTTCTCAGAGCACTATGAACGAACTCAGCTTGTATGTTTGAAATAATCGTCCAGTTGGCTTAAAAACGATGATCGATGACATCTCCTATATTTTACTTTCAAAATTATGATATATATATCTTCATTTCGAAGCCATCTATGACGCCATTTTTTTCAGTTTTGTTATAATTAATTTTGTCTCTTGATCTACTTGTAACATTATTCTTTTAATTTTATTAATTTATTGTGGTGAAATTAATTTCTGTTGTATATTTGATATTGATATTAAACATATTTTTAAAAAATGGTGTATTTTTTGTGTTTTTATCTATGTCATACTTAAAAATAAATGAAGAATTAATTTTTTTTATTTTTTTAAACTTCCCGCCATGCGTGACAATCTAGTCCGTAGTTCCTACAAGCGATATTGGGGGCGCTAGTATCAGTAGACTTGCCAACAGTCTCAAATTTAAACGTCAATTTCACTTTCCAATATTTAGCAAGACGCTCGCACTTCTCCTTGTGTATGTGTTTTGTGAACGCATTAAACAAGTTGCATCAGAGACACCGTCTCAAACGTATCAGTCCTTAAAAAGGCAAGCTGCGGGAGCGATGAAGTAATGATTACTAAATCTCGCTTAAGATAGGCTGGCCACGTATGCAGGATGCAAGAAAACCGCCTACCGAAATCTCTTCTTTACGGTGAACTTGTAGAGGGTAAGAGAAAACGGGTGGACAACTCAAAAGATACAAGGATGTTGTTCATGAAAACTTAAAGGGGGTAAGTATGCAGCATCAGTGGTAGGAAGCAGCGCACAATAGAACGCAATGGAGGAGAATAATTGTAAATTCAGTTAATAACGACAACCAAAAAGTAAAGAGGCAACAAAGCAATGAGATTTTTGAATGTCCGGAGTGCGGAAGAGAGATAACATCACGTATCGGGCTTTTCAGTCACAGAAAAGCTCATGACAGGAAACGCCTTGCGTAACCATCTTTTGATGCGTGTCAAATACTTGTCAGTGAGTAATGGCAGTAGTAGTAGTAGTACTAATAAAAAATGATATATTTTAAATATTGCAGTAAATAGTGAAAATAAATATAGAGTGATATATATTTTTGAGCAGCTCATAGCAAGACGGATCATATGATTCATAAATATACAGGGTGTTTCATTTCAAAAAACATAACTTTAGTTCATATTTTCAAAAAAAAATACGTAAAAAAACAGACTACGCCACTGTATTCTACGTAAAAAGTTCTGCAAGAATCAGTTTTCATCTTCTCGATATCAACCACAAGAACGGAGATACTGGCACTGTCCGAAATTGCAAAATTTTCAAAAAGACCCTGTAGCTCAGAAACGAAGAGGGCTATAAAAATTTTGTTCAGAGCATCTTTCGTTTGACAAAAAAGTGAAATAGGTTTGTGCAAACCGCATCATCCTATCTTTACTCATAACGGAGATACCGTATGATTTCAACTAAAATGGGACACCCTGCTTATGTAACTGTTAACTTACACTTATTTGCGAGAAATAGTCTGCAGAAAGTTTCAAAATCGCCAGTATATCCTTCAAGGAGTTTTGCATGATGATAATAAGATAGGCATGTGTCCTTGGGATTTCTAGCTATGTATATAATCTAAAATAAATTTAATCTTATGAAATACAGTTAGTTTAGTCATATTTTGTACAGGGTAGTGCGAATTGTATTCGGGAAATTTCATCAGCATATTTTGCGTATAAAACTAAGTAAAACAGTTCCTATAGCTTTAGGGCCTAAAAGGTTTCGTTTCGGAGATACAGAGTTATTACAAAAGTAATAGCTTTTCGTCCGTACTTGCATTACACTACTTAGTGAAAAAAAATATACATTGCACCATTTTTTACGTAAAAAAGATCTTTTGTTAAAAATTGCGACGTGCAACCGTTCTCAAGATATTTGGAATGAAAATGATCAATACATGCCATCACTAACAAAAATGAACATGTTGAGTAGATAGTTATTTGGACTGAAATGGTAAATTTGCGAACTTTTTATTTCTTTAAATTAATCACAAATTTTTCTAGAAAAATTATGATAAACCAGTTTGTTGAACCTTTAGCACAAAAACATTTCGAAGTTTATTATTTCCGTCTACTACTAACTATCTAGTAAAAAGTTTAATTATTGACATTGATGACATATTAATTATTTCGAATCCAAATATCTTGAGAACCATTCTGCCGTGAAAAGGTATAGGGCAGTATATGCAAAAAAAAACAATGGAGATATTTCAATTTCAAAAGCGATTCAATCAATGCCTATGAGTAATGATTACTCATAGCGATTTTTATCTTTTTTATTTCTTTTTTAGGTAAAGAACGATAGAATGTATATTTTTTCACTAAGTAGTTTAATACAAGTACGGAAGAAAAGTTTCTTTAAAAGAGTTAAAAAACATGTAGGCGGCGCCCCCTAGATGAAAGAATCATATTGACATCGAAGTAAAACTTTTCATGTCAAAAAAAGAAATAAAAATGAAACTTTTACACCCTGTATCTCCAAAATGAAGCATTTTAGAACATAAATTTAAACGTACTTATATGCTGCCGAAGTTTAAGTTGCCCTAATACAATTTGGACCACCCTGCATATAATTATTAAGATAAAAATGTGTGTTCTTTTGAGAGTTTTCATCATATTAGTATACCAAACCAAACTAAAACGAAAATATTATAGGTATTAGTGTATAAATAATAACAAAAAAAATGTTGATAAAATGGTGAATGCAGCAAAAATTTTTCAAATAATATTTTAAAAAATGTTGACAAAATGGTGAATGACTCTTCACCTAATTTTTCACCCACGAGCCGCCACTGATTAGTAGCAATCTAAAACAAGACCAGAACACTTTAAGAATATGATATGTGGTTGTCTAAATTGAACAAAATATCTACAGGGTGAGAGTTTTCTACGATGGAGATGATCTTTTCTGTGGATGGAGCTAGAGAGTCGGTTAAATAGGGAAGTAATTGCAGTTTTGTAATAATAACATATGCGCTTTTGGATTTTTGAAAAAAAATATGGCTTGACTAGATATTTTGACAAAAAAACAAATTTCGGCTATTTTAAGAATGCTCTATTATTGCATTATAACCTACTTTAAATAAAAAGTTTTCAGATAAAAGTTGTTGAAATCACATCCTTAATAAGATTGTGTTCCTGTTTTTTTTCTAAAGCGTATCATTTTTGATTTATGACATACACCATATTTTTTAAATGGCAACCATAGTTGGTCATAACTTCTTTATAAGCGCCATTTTTACGCTTTTTTTTCGAAAAATTACTGAGTTATAGCCAATTCTTATCTTGTTTAAACAATTTCATTTAGTTAGCCATGGAAACAAGCACAGTTATCATTGCTCTCAGAGATGTCAAACTGTCACATCCAAACAAAAATATTCTATCAAGACGCAACTAAAATGTAAGAAGGAATTTTTCAAATAAAGAAAAGCGTGAGGGACTATTGGTTCAACTCTTCTTAAACCATACATTTTCGAGGATACGTTGATCGGTGTCGTTACTTACGGCTTTTTAGCTGATTTGAACAGTTTTCAAGACATGTTAAGAAAATTTTTAGACTCTCTCATCAACAGAATGAATTTCATTATGATTATCAACCTCAAAAATATTAAAAGAAATATTAAAAATTATTTATATCATAATTATGCCAGTATAGTATAGTTAATGATTAATCCTGATTTTTTTTATTTACTTTTCAGACAGTCTTGGGATTTAGGTTCGGGAAAACTCTGATTAAGTTTCAAGTCATTTGGTTTTTCATTACATATCTTTATTTGGTTTTTAAAGTATGTATAAAGTATTTATAAAGTATGTTAATAAGTATGAAAAAAGAAAAATGTTTTGTAAAGAATTATTGTTTTTATAACATAAACATGGTCACACTAAGCTTAAGATTTTTTTGTATATACACTACTTGACTTTTTAATTTTAATTTTAACTATGTATATATATATATATATATATACATATATATGTATTCGTGATTTTTATAAATGTTTTTTCTTAAAAAAAATGAACATAGATTTTTATGATAAGTAAACTGAAATTATATTTTGTTATAGACACTACACTAATGAAGGCTATAATGTTAGCCGAAACGTTTGTTTTTCCTTTAAAAACCAAATAAAGATATGTAATGAAAAACCAAATGAAAACTTAATCAGAGTTTTCCCGAACCTAAATCCCAAGAAAATAAAAAAAATCAGAATTTTTAGAAACAAGGTTCAAGAATATTAAATTTTCCGTTAATGATTAATTATGCTAGGATAGGATAATTATGGACCCAACCCAACCTGACCTATCAGTTTTGAATTTTTTATGGGGTAGGGTTAACAATAAAGTTTACAAGAAAACCTATGAATCAAAAGAGACACTCGAAGAGGCAGTAGGCGGTAGGAAAGAAGCTTTAATAGTGGGGTCGGATAGCTCTGAAAATCATAAAAATATTTCAGTTCTGGCGGCGAACTTGAATTTTTGGATATGGATAGTACATATACCAAGCATCAAAAAACGCCCCAGACCCCAAAATTTTGGGCCCCCCCCCACCACCGGTATGACGTCATTAAAGTGGGGGTCAAAAAACTGCTTTTAGGCATATAAATACTTTTTTTTTCTTTGTAAAAACCCATTTTAATTTTATTTTTTATACTAAAATAACTTATTTGAAAATATTTTCAACTGTTTTTAATTATATGGCGGCCATCTTGTTATATAAATGTCAAAATTTTGACATTTTATCTGAAATTTCGTGTTTGATGTCAATTTATAGGTTTTTGGGGTCGACAAATTTAGTGAAGATATTAAAATTTTAATACGATACATCTGCAACTAGATGCTAACCCCAAACAACCTCTCAAAATTTTTCTTTTATACATCCCTTCTTCAACACGCCCCTATGCACCAACCTTTATACTAAAATATAAACTTCTATTTATGTTCATAAAATTTTATTTCATCAAATGTATGAATAAAAACGACTTGAAAATTAAAAATAAGTTAACATTTTAAATAAAAATAACATTTTAATAAAATAAGTTAATACACTCTATTAATCGTTTTCAGAACAATGTCCTTCACATGCACACAGCTGTGTACACCGAAGACCGTTTTTTACACATTTACATGCTGAACACTCAAGAAAAGAACAAGAACACACAAACGATTAGTTCCTCATAGCTTTTCACAACATCTGGAATGGTAGACCACAATGGCCGAAATCCATCATTAGTTTTTTGCCATCCCCAATTATCAGGCAATTGAGCTTGAAAGTCTTTTTCCAAGCAGTTGTTCACAAAGACATTATAAATATAGACCGAACATCTCATTCATAAATACTCGTTGGTAGTGTATCAAACATTCCAATGTGTCAAACAAGGACAGAAGAGACAGAGAAGTCTAAAATTTCCGACCCCGGCAACTAGGCGCATTTGGATTGTTCTAATGGCCAGTGGCGTATCGTTTTTTGGAACGAATTTAATTAGTAAAGTATGAGTAAAGTAATTAGTAAAATGTTTACTCCATATTAATATACTACATTAACACTTTTTCGTCAGATGAGTTTTGTTATAAGGTCTAATATAATAATATAATTAATATCCCACATATACTTATGTCGAAACGTTAGTAGGTAGTTTTCGAAAATCGCTCCAACGTCGATTTTCAATTTAAACGTTCAGTTAATTCTATATAAACTTTCAGTTACTTTTGAATATTTACAGGGTGACTCAAGCTTCCGAAACAGTTCTATATTAGGTTTGTGGTTGGTGACTTTTCTTTCAATTTTTTTTTTCAGAATATGGAGGCAATGGTAAAGCACATTCTAGACATTTTTGTAAACATAGGTGGCCGGAACATATTTTCAAACTAAAGTTGTAGATTTGCCATTAAATTTCCATTCCAGAAATATCTAGGGTTGCCACCTGTCCTTTTTGAAAAGGACAGTCCTTTTTTGGCATAACTTGTCCTTCTGACTTTTTTTGACTTAAAAAGTAATTTTAGTTACGTATTTTCCCTGAGAAAATTACCTACAGCAAACAGAAATATTATTTTCGTCCAAATTTAATTAGAGATGTTATAAAACTTATAAATAAATTTTTCTTGTTTAGAATAGGCAACATTATTTAGAACTTCCCGTTTAATCTCAAATGATAATTTAGGTTTTTAGTTTTACCTTTTTGATCTTAAAAAGAACTTTTTAAAATTAGTAATTAGTAACGATTTAGTTAGTTCGCAATCGATAGCTTCCTGTAAAGTACTGTGTAATAGTTGTTTAATCTTGTATTATTAATAACTTCCTATACCTAAAATCAATATTTAATAAAAAAATTGTGTTTTTTTGAAAATATAAGACAAGATTTGACTTTCGGTCTTCTTCTTGTATTATGATGGCTCTGATACGAGGCAATTACCTTTTAGTCTCTCAATAGAAGGCATTTATCATTAAAAGTATCAAATCTGTGTGCTACAGTATGGGATTTCTGTCGCATAATAATGAATATTACGTTTATTTACAAATCCATTACTTTTAAAGGTAGCTTCATCAGACAATCAAATTTTAGTTAAATGTCCCAATCTTCA